AAATAAAAAAAAAATATATGTTTTATTGTAAAAAAAGAAATATTTATATTTATTATATTTATTATATTTTTAATCAATACATAAAAATAAAAGCAAAATAAGAAAACCCAAAAAAAAAATAGTTTTAAAAAATCCCAAAAAAAACATCTTAATATTAAAAAAAAAAAAAAAACAACCTCTTGGCTGCTAGCCCTAAGCTCAAACCCTAATTTCTCACTAATTCAACGGGAATCTAATCAACTCCGATTTTCATTCTTACTTGACCTATGGTTCATAACAGAGAATCGAAATTTGCAATTCATAGAGACGTCACTGATATCTGAAGTTATGCTCAATGCTCTGGTTTTCTTGAGTTTTCGCTGAATGAGAAAAAGATGTTAATACTGATAACTTGAACTATGTCGGTGCTCTAATCTTCGTTTTCATATAATAAAAGAAAATGTTTTGATTAAGCTCGAGTTTCAATATATATATATATATATTTTTAGGTAATGGGCCAGAGTTTTTATTTTATGTCATCAATTTAATGTATATTATATAGTTGAAAGATGATGAATTTTCTTGAAGAAATTAAATATAAAGATAACTCCTTATATTTGCATAGAATAATTCAAGTATTTTTCACACACTTTATATATTTGCATAAATCTTAAACACTTCCTAACCTTTATCCAACGCCTTAGAACGGCGGCCGGCAGCCGTGAGCCCAAGAATAAGCCTCCTGATTCATCTGCCCACCGCCACCATTCGGCAGCAAGTTCGGCGGTAAATTGTACAACGGCGGCATAGCTGATGGATCTCCCACTCCGCTACCAATGCCTTGTGGTGAACTATCCCCTCCACCACCACCTCCGGTCGATGCCAGCCCTTGTCCTCCTCCTCCTCCTCCTCCGCCGTCCTCCTCCTCTTCCAACGGTAATCGCTCGTATGTTGCATTGGAAAATGTCGCAGCTATCACCATCACCGGCCCGGCAGCGGTGAGTGGCCCGACGACACTACCACCCACCACTTGCCCTTGACCACCAGCTAAGTAGATCGTTAGGCCCGCCGAGCCGGGCGGAGCTGGTCCAGGGAGGAAAGTTCCGGTCAATGAAAGGATCTCGAATCGACCATGGAGTGTCAAGACTGCACCAGGGGCCGACGGTTGCCGGAGGGTCACGTTCGTTACCGTCCCACTACCACTAAGCACAGACACACCTGAATCCACAATAATACGATTCTGTCCACCTTAAGCATAATTTCTGAAAATCTCGTACTTATAAATTTGTTAGATCAATTTAAATTTCACCTTTCTGACGCCGACGGGAGAATTGAGCGACACACTCAACGATATCAGCACCATTAGAAATCTCCACGACATGGCTTTTTAGGGCATTAGGGCTATCTCTAGTAACAAAGATAGGTGGCTTAGGCTTATTCTTGGACCCGGGTGGACGGCCGCGGGGGCGGCGAGAGGGAACGTCGACAGCTCCTTCCTTAGGCTCATCACTGCCACCGTTGTCTCTATCGTCATCGTCATCGCCACCACCACCACCGCCGTTGTTGTTCATGGAGATTCCGAGATCTGGTTTTCTCAAGGCAGAGGAGGTTGTGGATGTATGATCAACTCCGGAAAGACCCATCTGGGCGGAGGTCCACCACCGGTTAGCCATCTTCAAAGGGTGCTTTAAAAATCAAATCTTTGGTTCAGATCTTGAAGAATTTCAGGGTTTTTATTGTGAAGAATTTAAAAAAAAGGGGAAAGATGGAGAAATTAATATGATAATTAGAGGAAAAAGGATTAAATTAATTGGAATTAGGAGGTTTAAAGGAAGATTAAGGCAAAGGGGAAAGTACTAGAGAGGATGAAGTGATGATAAGAGGAAGGAGAAGACAAGGAAAAGAGATGCCTAGAGAGTTAAGATGGACAAGAAAGTATGTGAGGAGAGAGAGAAAGAGAGAGAAAGTGAAAAAATATTATTTTAGTTCAAAGGTATTGTATTTTTCTGTAGATATGGAACTCGAAAATGAAAGAGAAACTCGGGAGGATCTTTTCAATCCCAAAACAAAGCCATGAGAGTTTATGCTCAAAGTGGACAATATCATATCATTGTGGAGAGTCGTGTTCGTCTAACATGGTATTAGAGTCATGCCCTAAACTTAGTCATATCAATAGAATCCTCAAATGTCAAACAAAGGACTCCAAAAGAAAAAGAAGTCGAGCCTTGATTAAGGAAAGACGTACTTTGTTCGAGGGGAGATGTTGGATAATACTATCTCCATTGGTATGAGGTCTTTTGGGGAAGCCCAAAGCAAAACCATGAGAGTTTATGCTCAAAGTGGATAATATCATACCATTGTGGAGAGTCGTGTTCGTCTTTTGAATGAAGCAAAGTCAAAAGTTGAGAGTTCTCTTTTCTTTTTAGATTGAACTCTTTTTTAGGGTGTCTCTTGGAACACTTGCTTATTCCTGCCCTTTTCTTCTCCTCGAATCCACTTCAGGTCGGGTCGTTCTATGACGTGATGGTAAGCTAGCTAGGAGATATCATAAGTTGCATTCCTATTTTAGTTGTCCAAGCAAGTCAATCCCCATTCCACAATTGGGTTAACCTTCCTCTTGCAAAGGGGTCAATTTGTCCCCGTTTTAATTAAAGACTCAGAGCGAGCTATGAATCTATACCAAACCCGTTACACCATAAATCATTAAGGTTGAGTGTGATTGGGGTAATTTGAAGGGGGAGTGGTTGGATGAAGGTTGTATGGGTGTGCGACAAAGTCTTAGCTACCACTCTCTCTTGTTTATAGGTAAATTGTTTATGTATGAATCAAAAACTCCAAAGTTACTTTGATTTCATGTGTGGGATCAAAACAGATAATATTGATTAGCGGTGGGCTTAGGTTGTTATAAATGGTATAAGAGCCAAACACTGAAAATGTGTCAGTGAGGATGCTAGACCCCGAGGAGTGGATTGTGAGATCCCCATCAGTTGGGAGGGGAACAAGACATTCCTTATAAGAGTGGGGAAACCTCTCCTAATAGACGCATGCAATGAGCTCGGGCTTTTTACAGATGAGAAATCCTTCTTTAAATATGGAAGGAGTAAAAGAGAGATTCCTCACTGTTACTTATGGGGCCGAAATGAAGTTATATTCAGCTTTTCGTTACCTAAATGGGTCTGGAGATGAAGATTATATTCATCTCTCCGTTACCTAAATGGGGCTTGAGAATGGAAATTACATTCCTTATCCTCGGGCTGTTGTAGACGAAAAATCCTTATTCAAATATGGAGGAAGTGGAGAGAAATTTCTCTCGGTTACCTAAACGAGGTCGGAGATAGAGATTATATTCATTTCTTCGTTATCTAAATATGAGTTAGGGACGAAGATTATATTCTTGATCTCATTTCCGCCCGAGGATAGGGGGTGTGGGGATGGTGATTAAGAATTCTAGGGTTTGTGTGAGTGGGGTGGCATGCGCTTATGATGGTGGGATGCACGTCCTTGTCTACCGGCCCCACTCCCACACATACTCACAAAAGGACAACCTTCTAACCCTATCCATAAAATATTATATATTATTATTATTATTATTATTATTATTATTATTATTATTATTATTATTATATTTCCCAAATTCAATTATTTTGTTATCATTATAATATATATATGTTAATAAAAGGCTTAACATAGTCATTAATATTATTAATAATCATCTTCTTTAATTTTCATATACGTAGGTACCTCTTAAATTATGTCACATAAATCGTATATATTCAAACATTTTTAACCGATAAACCTTAGGTTAAAAAAGAATATTCCTTTGGAATATAAGTATTGCTTATATGACCAAACAAGAGAAACGAACCATTTAATAAATGGACTAAAATACCCTTATATTTTATCGTAATTTAAACTATATAAAGTTAGAGATAATAATTAAATTACATTAAACCAAACCTTGGTAAAAAAATTCTGATTGGTAGTCAAACAGTTACTATTACATCCACGAGATTTCGTGACATTGAAAAACGAGCATACAAATATATTCATGATAATGAATATTCATGTCTGTCTATTGTCTAGAACGACTTGTGATTGAATAATTAGTGTCTTACTGATATATTCATAGTTGTCTCAAAATCTTGATTGTAATTCAGTTCCTAGAATGAAACAAAGATTTTTGGACAAAACTGTCAATTAGTTTGTGTTCAAATGGGTTCCGAGTATTTGGATATATCGACATGTTGAAGTTGGTAGTAGGAGAAAGTTACTATTATTGCACGAAGAAAAAGTTTTGTCATATCCGCTGGGATGGACATCTTACATCGTTGAACTGATAATCGTCTTTCCAGATGGAATTTTGTATATAATAGTAGTCATTGGATTAGGTTAAGACAACGAGACACTGATTCGTTTAGTACGAAAAAGAAGACGAGACATCGGTGTTGAGATAAAATTTTTATAGCAAGCATTTTTAGATGAATTTGTACGTATATTTTAGTCTCTAATAATCTAAGAACTCGAAAGAAGGTGAGACACTGTTTTTATCTATCCTTACCCTATAAGTTAAAATATGCAAAATATATTATGAAGGTGGATACTTTTACGGATCCCCGTCTGCATTGGATCTTCCTCAACAACTTCAGATAGGGAACGAGTGGGTGAGATCACACATTGATTAGAGAGGGGAACAAAGAGCGTAGAACCTCTCCGTAACAAACATGTTTTAAAACATTGAGAGGACGCGACACCTCTTAGTAACAGACATGTTTTAAAACATTGAGAGGACGTGACACCTCTCCGTAATAGACATGTTTTTAAAACATTGAGAAAACGCTCGAAAGCAAAAGCATAAAAAGAATAATATTTGCTAACGGTGCTCTTGAGCTCTTTCATAATTAATAGTTTTCTAATCACGAGTAAATCAATTAATAGTTTATATGGAAAAATAAAAACTATACCTTAAAAAGTTTTTTAAAATGATTATTTCGAGTTCGGCTGAGAATCTCGGCCCCATCCCGACAAAAATAAATAAATAAATGAGAAGGTTCATGAGGAAGCTAGCCCGTGGACATCTTTATTTGCTACCACCTCGCTGCTAGCTGCTACTGCCGCCGCCGCCGCTGCCGCTACCGCCACCTTAACAAAACGCATAATCTTTCATTTTTATGAAGTGGGTATTGAATTTGTGAATAAAAGATGGGAAGATGAAGAACTAAATGGCGGCGCCTTAAGAACATAAAGAAAAATGGGTTGAGCATAATAATAGTATTGTAATATCACAAATATTTTTCAAAATTAACCATAAATTTCGAGCTAATTACATTTTGATCCATAAATTTCTTATTTATTTTCACTTAACAAATTTACGTATTTCCTTGCAATGTAAACATGGCTAACGCAAAAAATTCTCCCATTGCGCCGGCTTCTACTTCTGCAAGCAATCGCCCATCAGGCAGAGGTGATCGCTTTCATAATCGCTATCAATAATTTTTGAAATCCATTTTGTTCTCTATTCCCTCTTTTTTTTTGGGTTGATTCTTGTCAAATGCAGATGGGTTTCGATTCTCGTGTTCATCTTTGCATTCCAACAGTCATTCGTGTTCATCTTTGGGTTTCTCGTTGATGTTTGATTTTCATGAGATTATCTGTTTTTTTATCGTGTTTCTTCCGCGTGTAATGTGATTCTCAGGTTTGAGGTGTTATGGGTCTGTGATGATATACACACATGTTTTTGCACGATTTCGAGGCGTTTAATGTTGGTGTGCTCTGTTCTTGGCTGGACAATATTATGTCATCTTCGTTAGATTTGTTCATTTTGGTGTTCAGCAGACGTATTGAACTGGATACTCAACGTGGAATTGACACCAAATTAGTTCAAAAGATTGCATCCTATGTGAATTTGTACTATTAGTTTTGCTTTTGGTATTTTTTTTGAATAGCTAAGGTGTTGGGACCTTAGTTCTTGTATTACGTGTTAGGAACCATGACTCTCCACAATGGTATGATATTGTCCACTTTGAGCATAAGCTGTCGTGGCTTTGTATATGGTTTTCTCAAAAGGCCTCGTACCAATGGAGATGTATAGCTCATGATCAACCCCTTAATTAGCTAATATGAGACTCCTCTCCCAACGATCCTCAATGTTATGCTCATGGCCTATTCCACTAATCTCTGGGAAGCTTTGCTTGCCTCAAAGCGCCCTACAGAGAGGGAGGAGATTTCGTAGTGATTACGTTTTCAATTTGGGGCTTTGTAATAGTCCAAAGCCACTAGCAAATATTGTCCGCTTTAACTCATTACGTATCACTTTTAGTCTCACGGTTTCAAAACACGTCAACTAGAGAGAGATTTTCATACCCTTATAAGGAATGATTTGTTTCCCTCTCCAACTGACGTGGGATCTCAAAGGCTTGAACCTTAAATGTTGGACCCTTCTCTTTGATAACCATTTATAATGCTTGGATGAAGTTTTCTACTTACCCTTTAACCGTTCGCTTTGATGAGAGTTAGAAATGTCGAGTTGATTAACTCGACAATGAAGTAGGAATACTTTAGAAATGATGAGAGAACTTTCATGAAGCTGCCTTGACTTCCATTAGGAATCAGGATCTTTGTTCAAGTGGAAACTAACTCCTTTGAAGGGATCAAATTTGTAGTTCATCCTTTTGGTTGAATCATGTGGCTCGGTTCAGTGTCATCCTTCACATTTGTTGGTAACAATTTGCTTGTTCTTATGGTTTATGATTCTTATAAATTTTGGATGACTAAAGATGCAATAAAAGCTCATGATACTAAATGTTTTGATTCATGATGCAAACATAATCATGGAATGCCATTGTGATGATTCCTAAGGGGTTCTAATGTTTAATCTGTCTCTTGTAACTCTATATTTAACTCTCTGTTATTCGATGCTCGATACTAAAACGTTGCATTAATAGTTAAACAAGTTATGACAGTTCTTTTATGATGATCAGGAAGCATACTCCCGTAAGCATCGTCGTTAAGAATATCGTTAATGTCAGATTTTTATTGTTCTGTTTGTGATTGATTTGCATTCCTCAAGTTTCATTAAGTAGCTTTTTGTTGTTCATCTGTTATAACAACTTGAGCTCATATATGAGACTGCCATCATCAATTGCTAGCTTGATTGAGGCTTCCTTGATCAATTTTCATACTTGGACAACAAAGCCCATCGCTAGCGGATATTGTTTTCTTTGGGCATTCCCTTCGGGGCTTCCCCTCAAGGTTTTAAAACGAGTATGTTAGGGAGAGGTTTTCACACTCTTATAAAGAATGTTTCGTTCTCCTCTCTGACCGATGTAGGATCTCACAATCCACCTCCTTTGGTGACCCAACGTTCTTGCTGGCATATTGCCCAGTATCTGGCTCTAATACCATTTGTAACAGCCCACATCGGTTGGAGAGGAGAACGAAACATTCCTTATAGGGTGTGGAAACCTCTCCCTAACATACACAGTCTGGCTCTAATACCATTTGTAACAGCCCACATCGGTTGGAGAAGAGAACGAAACATTCCTTATAGGGTGTGGAAACCTCTCCCTAACATATATATTTTAAAACTTTGAGGGAAAACCCAAAGATAACAATATCTACTAGCGATGGGCTGGGCATGTGCAATTTAGTACTCATGGTCATTCCCTTATGAACCTTTTAATCTTTTGATCTTCCATTTGTCTGAACTTTCACATTCTAGCTGAATTCATTGCATATATCTGTGGCTGTCATACGTGAAATGCAGTACATCTTAACTTGATAGCAAATGAATATGTATAGGCTATAATGGACGCTTCTCCAGATTTAGAGGGAGGAAAATGGTTAGTGATAGTATTCATTCAGCTTTGGCATGTGATGACATCCTCACCGAAATCCTCCTTCGTTTACCGGAGAAACATGTTTTCAAATTTATACTCGTGTCGAAAAAATGGCTATACCTGATCTGTGATTTACCTTTCCGCCGTTGTTACGAGATGCAATGGGGCACACACAGTCGTCTTTTTGGCTTTTTTGTATGCAATCTTCTTTACATCGACAGACCACAAGGCGGGTTGAGGCGCCCGCGGTATGAGCCTGCTCTACCTCTACTTTCAACATGTAAAGAAGGTGATGATTTAATGTCATCTGGATTCTTAAGGAAGCTTGGCTATTTTATTGACTACTCTGATGGCCTTGTGCTCTGCGGCCGACATCCTAAGAATTATTATGTCTGGAATTCTGTCACGAAGTATCGATGCCTTCTTCCTCAACCCCGAAAGCATTATAAATGTCTATGTATCGCGTTCATCACTGAAAACCATCGTGAAGCTGACAGAGATATGGTATATAGAATCATTCGGGCGAGCTGTGAATGCAAAGTTGATGTTATTAACACCATCTCAATAGAGACTTTCTCCTCACTGACTTGGACATGGAAGCAATCCACTCTTGTTTGTTCTTCAGATTTTTCTTTGAGCCCATGGACGGTGGGTACTGTGATCGACCGAGTTATATACTGGTTCGGAACATATCGAAGCTTAGCCATTTATGATCCAGGATTCGGAGAAAGGAGCATAAACTCGATCAAGCTACCGGTTGGTCAGCTGACTTACGACTATGAGGACTCCATTTTAGGAGAGTCATCTGATGGGCTTTTGCAGTATGGTCAAAGTGGAAAGATGGGGTTGGAGATATGGATTCTGCTCATGGAGCAAGCTATGGTTACCGATCGATACGAGTACCGGTGGACGTTACGACACAGACTGAGCAGCAAAGAGATGTCGAAACAGAACCCGAATTCAGGTATTCGTACTAAAGAACCTCAAGTATTATCGTTCATTTATCGAAACTCGGAATCTGTTTTCATTAGATTGGGATCGAACATCTACCTTTGTAATATCAGAAGCAAAACACTGGCTGTGATTCCTTACCACTGTGATGGTGTTTCTATCCCATGGGATTCTTGTAAAGTGGTGCCTTACTTTCAGAAGATATGGCCTTATTCCCCTTTCCCTGACCCCTCAAACACTCTTAATAATTGATATCAACCATGAGATGCCTGTTCTGTTGCCAATTTCTTCTTTTGTTAATGATCATTGTGCTTGATTGCAATTTGTTTTTTAAGATTTTAAAAGTTTGATAATGTAACCGATCAAATTCATCGCTTGCAGGTATTGTTCGTTTTGGTCCGTTACGTATCGTCGTCCGTCTCACGATTTTTAAAACGTGACTGTTAGGAAGAAGCCTAGGCTAGGAGAGAGGCGTCCATCTCACAGTTTTTAAACTGTGTCTGTTAGAGAGAGACCTAGGCTAGTAGAGAGAGGTGCCCATCTCACGGTTTTTAAAACACGTTTGTTAGGGAGAGGCCTAAGCTAGCAGAGAGAGGCATCCATCTCATGGTTTTTGAAACGCGTTTGTTAGGGAGAGGCGGCTAGCAGAGAGGGGCGTCGTCTATTAAAGAGCTAGCAGAGAGAGGTTTCCACACCCTTAGAAGGGCCCTAACAGCTGCACGGAGACTCCTTAAATAATCCATAAGATTGAGATTTATCAAACCATAGGGACTAACTCTAACCATTGTAAAATCATAGTCTAACAACTCATGCCCATGATTCGGAATTCATATTTAGCACTTGATGAGCCTAGCATTCCCCTGCATCCCTTGCGACATGATCATAGACCAATATGACTCCTTCCAACATGTTTTGTTCTCACTCATATACATTCTAAGAAAATTCTCAAGAGATTACCCAACATAGAATTGCTCGAAGTATGCTTAACTATGAAGTTCTTGTGATTAAGTCATCGAAAAGGAAGGTGCACCTTACTGGTATAGGTAGTAACTTTCATTTCAAAACTTTTTTAATCATCATATCCTCAGGATCGCTCTCATTCGAATATAGTCTCGGTTCATTCATGTACCCTTCTTTTACTTGGTCACACATAGCAAACAAGCAAGTTGTTGAATATTTTCAAGAAGTGTCTAATATATCTTTCAAATATTATGTTCACTAGGTTCCTAAACTCTAAATTGTTTCCAATCGATTAGCAACCTTTCCGATCTCTGATTTATTCTATATATTTAAAAATTCACAAATTTACATAAAATCCAATGGCTGAACTTTGAGAAAGATTTCCGTTGGTTAGAACCCCAAATTATTAAAATAAAACCCGTATCATAATTTTTTTTAATTCAACAAACGTCATACAAAAAACTTGTTTAATTGGGTTTTTGTTACTTTGTACCTAGAGATGTCCATTTAACCGCGAATGAGACAAGAAAATTTCTTATCAAAATGAGGTATGAGGTCCGAGACTGAAATTATACTTCCATTTATTTAAATAAATATGTTGAAGATTTTTTTTTAAACTATTAAATACTTTTTCGCAACTTTGAACCGAAATTATGTTAATAAAACATTATATTATATTTTCGACTATAAAATATTATTGGGTTTATTAAGGTGTGTCACATTATATCGTTATATGGTTTATTAAAAAGATTATTTAAAATGAATAATTCTTTTTTAAAAAATAAATATATCCCTGTCACAAAAATAAATAGAAAATTTCACGAGAAGCTGCATTACCGGTCTTTGTCTCGTAGGCATCTCTAGTACCACCAAACATGGACCCATCTAGTATAGCCCGTTGATGATGATTTGAATCGTAGGGTGAGGATGAAGAGTTGATTTATGGCAAGTTAGTGTAGCATTTGGCACACCCTGCTGAGACATGTCAAGCGAGAGAAAAGAGAGACTTGGTAGCCCCAAATTGGCGCGCATTTGAGGGAGCTACCGAACTTACCGGCCTTCCTGCAACAATGTCACTCCCTCATCTCATCGGATCCACATTCACTCCCTCTCTCTCTCTAAAGCACACACTCTTTACTTTCCCACATCACAATACCTTCTTTTCCTTCATTTTCTTCATTTCCCTTTTCACAATTTCTTCTGGGAAATGCCCTTTTTCTGCATTTTTTCACGTTACGCTCCGACCCATCTTTGATTTCCTGCTTTTTGATGTGAATCTAGCCATGATTTTTGCCCAATGGGCCATTTTGGGTCATTCTAGCTTTGATCAAGACGCGATTTCTTTCAGCTGTTGTGTTTCCTGTATGGTGTATGAATTAGGCAGCTGAAGTGTTCGAAGAAAGTCCCCAATCGTCAACAAGCTTCGGATTGCAGCATTTCAAATGGTTGGTGGTCTTCTTCTCTCAAATATCTTGTTGTGTTTCTTGCCGGTTTTATGTTTGGTGGATCACAGAAACATTTATAGCATTCTGATTTGATGCTCGTGATGTTTTTGCTACAAATGTCTTTTAACTGATATCTGTTCATATCTCCTCACAGGCCTTGAAAATAATATAGATTACAAAAACTGTCTGTTTATGCAGTAATGGTAGTTGATTATTCTTTAATGTATTCTATGATACCATGAAATGTTAGAATGTAAATCTAAGGCATTTATTCCCTAATATCGGGATCTTTTAATCGAACGGTCGAAATTTCGCGCTCGTTGGTTGCTGCCTTCCTGTCATATAGATTTTCTAGTAAATATCTATCTTGGGTTGCTGCCTTTCATTGAATGTAATATAAAGAACTTGAGAACACTTGAGATCCCACATCGGTTGGGGAGGAGAACGAAGCATCAAGGGTGTGGAAACCTCTCTTTTGCAAACACGTTTTGCTCAAAGAGGACAATAGCTGCTAGCGGTGAGCTTGGGCCGTTACAACTTGAGTTTATGTTTAATGTCTCTCTTATAATTTGGGTAGAAGAATTGTCACTTTCCATAACTGTTCCTGTTCAGAAGTAATTTTGAACTATATTTCTTGTAAAAAAGTGAAAATGAGATGATTTCTGAAGCATGATTTTGTTTTCTACATATGCAGGGTACACCAGTTAACATTATTGTCGGTTCTCATGTCTGGATTGAGGATCCAGAAGTTGCTTGGCTTGATGGATTGGTATCCAAGATTACAGGGCAGGAAGCTGAGATCGAAGCCAGCAATGGAAAGAAAGTAGGCGAAGATCTCGTCTTTTCGTTTTAAAGCTGGTGTCAATATCTGCTCTATATATCTCTCAAATAATGATTTATGTGTCATGCTATTTTGGAATTTTAGGTTGTTGCAAAATTATCCAAAATATATCCCAAAGATATGGAAGCTCCTGCTGGTGGCGTCGATGATATGACGAAGCTATCTTACCTGCACGAGCCAGGAGTTCTACAAAATTTAAAAAGTCGATATGAACTCAACGAAATCTATGTAAATTTTCACCCTTCATATTATAACTGTAGATCTGTTTGTGAAAAAAATGAAATCATATAATATTCCTTGTTATTGCAGACATACACTGGCAATATTCTTATTGCAATTAATCCATTCCAAAGATTGCCTCATCTTTATGATGGTCACATGATGCATCAATACAAAGGAGCACCATTTGGAGAGCTGAGTCCTCATGTTTTTGCTGTTGCTGATGTTGCTTACAGGTTAAATTTCAACATGTTATTCTTGAAGAAATTTCACACAAAAATTATTAACAGTTGTATTGAAACAGGGCAATGGTTATTGAGGGTAAAAGTAATTCAATTCTGGTCAGTGGTGAAAGTGGAGCAGGGAAAACTGAAACTACAAAGATGCTTATGCGGTACCTTGCGTTTTTAGGTGGTAGGGCGGCTACTGAAGGACGAACGGTTGAGCAACAAGTTCTTGAGGTATGATAAATTAGAACTTCCATGTCAAACCACTATTTTTTAGCTAGACTAGTTTTAAGCTTTGTTTCTTTTTTTTTTCAAATCTTACTCTGTGATCCCACATCAGTTGGGGAGGAGAACGAAACATTCTTCATAAGGGTGTGGAAACCTCTCCCTAGCAAATGCGTTTTCAAAACCTTTAGGGGAAGCCCGAAAGGTGGTAGGCTTGGGCCATTACAAATGGTATCAGAGCTAGACACCGAACGATGTGCCAGCGAGAAGGTTGAGCCCCGAAGGGGGTGGATTGGGGGGTCCCACATCGATTGGAGAAAGGAATGAGTGCCAGCGAGGAGATCCCACATCGGTTGGGGAGGAGAACAAAGCATTCTTCATAAGGGTGTGGAAACCTCTCCCTAGCAAATACGTTTTAAAAACCATGAAGGGAAGGTCGAAAGGGAAAGCCCAAAGAGAACAATATCTACTAGCGGTGGGCTTGGGCCGTTACACTTACGTAGTTAGATTTTGATTTAAGTCTCATAGTTTTTTCTCCCTTTGACTTTATTTGCAGTCAAATCCAGTGCTTGAAGCTTTTGGAAATGCTAAAACTGTCAGAAATAACAATTCCAGGTAAAATTCTTCGTGAGAGTTAACAAAAATTCATTTCTAGAAACCAATTCAAGTAACACAAATTTTCATTTCTCAAATTGTTGCTGAGAATCATTCTCTCCATACAGTCGCTTTGGTAAATTTGTTGAAATCCAGTTTGACAAGCATGGAAGAATCTCAGGAGCAGCTATCCGAACTTACCTTCTTGAGAGATCTCGTGTTTGCCAAGTTTCCGATCCCGAGCGCAATTATCACTGCTTTTACCTCCTTTGTGCTGCACCTCAGGAGGTATTCACCAGTTTCTTTGACACCACTAACTGAGAGCTTTAGCTTATTTAGAACACACACACATGTGAATTGGCATAGTTGTGGTTTGTGAGTGAGGTTGTTTGTGATAAAACAGGAAATCGAAAAATACAAGCTGGGAAATCCTAAATCATTTCATTATCTTAATCAATCAAATTGCTATGAACTGGTTGATGTAAGTGATGCTCATGACTATCTTGCCACTAGAAGAGCTATGGATGTTGTTGGAATAAGTGCCAAGGAGCAGGTATGGTATCTGCTGAAGCTTGTAACTAATGCAAAATTTGAGCATAGTTACTTATCTTCTTATGTCTTTTCTCTCTTCTCTCTTTTTCAGGAAGCAATTTTTAGAGTTGTTGCTGCAATTCTTCATCTCGGAAACATTGCATTTACGAAGGGCAAAGACGGCGACTCATCAGTTCCAAAAGACGACATGGCCAAGTTTCATCTTAAAATGACTTCGGAGC